CATTTCTTTTAGGTGTTTGAGCTTCTGTTTGAGTTTCATTTATAGTTCTATTTATTTTACCAGGTTCAGAAGCATTTGTTTCGGGTATTTGTACTTATAGATTGAGTTGTATTTTGTTGTGAACTAACAGTCTGGTCACATTGTGATTGAGAAATGTGTGTTATATTGTCATCAGTGGATTGATTATTATGATTTGGGCATCGAGATGCTAAATGATTAGTTTGTTTACAAATAAAGCACGTTTGTTTTTCTAGTGAGAGAAATATTTCGATAGTTCGATTGATCATGGTTAATTAGTATTGAATCGGGGATATTTCAAGATTTGTAGGGGCTATATAAGTAAAACGTCGAAAACTAATGATATGCCTAAAACTAGGATTTGATGTTCGATCCGTAAAAAATCTATTGGTGTTATTTGATGGATTCCTATCTTTTTGAGTTCATTTTCTATTATGTTATGTGGTACAGAAGGAGATACATTAGAAATAATTAATTTTTTCATTTGGAGTAATTAGTTTTCTAGCTTGAATACGATATTGGTTTACTGTTATTATCCCATTATCCGTTTCCAAAAATTTTTGAACAATATTTTCCGAAGTGAAATAGATGCATATACGATCATTAACAATTCTGGATATTGCAAGTATATTTTTGGGTCAACTAAGTTGGCTACAGCATTCAGGTAATCCTCGATTTTTGAATTTGGAACTGTATTTACTACAATTGCTTGTTTTTTGGAAGGAAATATGTTGGTAGGTTCATTTAAAACTGTTGAATATAACTTTGGTGCAGTAGTATCATTTTTGGGGATTTCTTGTTGTGAAAAAACATTTGATGATGAAGCTTGTTTCATGTTGATCTACGGAACCTGAGTACGGTCCTGGCACCAATACGAAATCATTGATAATAACTCGATGTAATTAGATAAATTAAATTACTTACAGTTAATGTCATCAGTATTAACAATAAATAATTATTTGTTAATAATTTACACTTTATTACACTTTTAGCTTTCAATGTTTTTAAACAAAACCACAAAAACTAGGTGCGATTAAGGTAATTAGGTGTAGCTTCGTTGAACGCTCGAAGTCGAATTCATAAAATTATGTATGTTTCTTATGCATTATACAGTTGAGAAAAGTACGGTAATAATAATAAGTGCGAATATTGAAGAAGAACATGCAACATCTTGTATAGCCGAAAATAATTTTTGGTGATAGACCACTAATTCTAAAGAACTTCGTTATTTTTTTTACTTGACACTCCATGTTTCGTGAACGGTGGTAGAGTAAAACATCCTGCATATTTAAAAGTTTAAATCTATCTAAACACAAATGAATGTCAATATTGTTCTTTAAAGTTTGTTAAGAGATACTATACATTTTTCGTGTTACATATTTTTAATAAAAATTTAAAGTGCCAGATTGGACAATCATTTAGTATAAATAACTAATTTCTGTGTAGAATTGCAATAATTGTACTCTTATAACAAGTTTTGTAATACCGGTTGAAGATCCAAATATTTTTTGACTTAACCATAAATGGATCATTTTTTATAATTCAATCAAGTAATTTTTCATATGAAACGTAAAAATATGCCAAGAACTCTATTAAAATTTTAAAACTAAAGAAGATTTTATTTCATCGAATAAAGTCCAGTTGTCTGAAAATTACCAGTACGTGTTTATATTTCTATAATTATTTTAGTTGCGGAAAATATTTTGCACTACGTCTTGGAACACGTCCTTCTAAGCGTCCTTCGAAAACTAAGCCATCAAGTCATTAGCAATTCCTGTAAGATGAAAGTTGGAGGACTTATCGGAGAGGCCATCAAAAATCATTCACCAAAAGATTACAACTTCTTCTTTCAAAGAACACATGGCAACAACGGACATCTCTTGTATTCGGAGGAATATGAGCAACGATCGTTTTCCTTTTATGTCACCTGTACCTAAGACAATGGGAAAGCGAATCAAGCAATCCAACCGATGAATCTAAAGATGGACTGCGATAAATGTTTTGTGTTGGATAACGATTCGCAACAAAATATTATTATTTTTGGTATTCTTGAGAATTTACGATACTTGGCGAAAGCAGAGGCATATTACTTGGATATACGCTCAATACGCTCCAAAATTTTTCTTGAAATTATTTACCATCCATAGCTTATTAAATCGGCATTACTAATTAATTCGTTGCTTCGAAAAGTTGGTTACGTCTAAAGTCCAGTAAGAAATATAATGACTATCTTTTCCCTGTAACTGTTTAGGCATCCCAGTCTAGCCATATACATTTCATCACAAATCCATGCCAATCTTTCATTCCCATTTTTTCAACCATTTTCACCATTCTCATCTGAATATCCTCACTTTTGTATCTACGTTTCTACAGTACTAAGCAATGGGGTACATAACACTCCATAGTTTACATGTACCTGTCCTGTTTTCACAGGATAATGTTTGTTCAAGTAGGCTTTGACCATTTATAAAAGCTAGGAGACTGTAGTTAAGCATTTTGATATATTCTCTCAGATTAAATAGATTTCTAATTAGTTAATAAGTTGAGGACTATTTTCGATATAAACGGAAACAGCATATGCTCGTAAATATTTTCATTATAAATTCACTATCGAAAACCTATGAATGCTTAATGAAACTATGAATTTTCAGATCTCAAAACCGTTTAGATTGGCAGATAG